AGGAGTAAAACAGAAAATTGTGCTCAGGTGGATTCTCACAGAAATGTCTATTTCTAATTACAAATGAACTCTAAGTAGAGAGGAAGGATTATTTTAGTTCCACATCTTCAACATGCTCACAGATGTACTACTGATAAAATACTGGGTACTGCTGAGTCTTACTTTTCTAAATTTTATTCTGCATCTCAGAATCTAGTTTCAACCATAACCAATTACTGAATGGATTTGGGTTTCACAGAGACCCTCACGGTCTAGTCGTAAGGTGCTGAAACAACTGGGAGTCTCTCTGGAGAGTTGCTGTACAGTGGACTGTGGATCACTAGATTTGTGCCAGTCAATAATAGTTTCCCTAAGAGTCAACTAAACTTTCTTGGCATTAGTGTCCTTATCCATAAACTAAGGAGGCTGGAGAGCTTTCAAATCTTATGTTGGACTTGAAATTCACACATCAGCCATCTATCCATCCTCTAATTTCTGAATGCCAACGTGTGTAAGAGGTGAAACTCATTGGTGCAGTTTTCACAGACTGTCATTTCTTACCTGATCATAGTAACGCAGGTAATACTTCACAACATAGTCCACCAGATTAATCCCATTATCCTAAGGTGTAAAAGAGAAATTTCAATGAAAATCACTCGCATGAGACTCTGCCATGTTATAAAGTTCAGCACTAAAATCTCAGTTTGTAGTACTTCCAATTTGTAAGATTTGGGCCTACTTCTGTTTGGGATTGGCAAGATTTCGCTCCCTCCTTGTTCTCTCCATCTTTTATGTCAGTTGTATGAAGAAATGACACTATATTATTCTTTGTGGGGGAAAAACAAACAAAATCCCTAAGACCACTGTGATAATGGCTAAAACAAACAAAAAATCGTTTCCTAATACTTTCAGGCATAAGCCAAGACAGGAGGTGGGTGGGGAGTACTAAAGGGAACTGGGGACTAGAACAGAAAACCATCCCTCCCTTCCCACCTTTCAAAAAAAAAAATGTGTGTTCTTACTGGCGTGAAAAACAATCAGGGCCAGCTTGAAAGGAACTACACGCCACTTTACGACCCTGGGAGGGCAGGGGGAGCAGGCCCTCCCACAAGGCAGTCTTTGTGCCTTGTTCACAGGGGTCTAATTCTAATTTGCCTGTGTGTTTCCCCTTCCTAGATCCCCCTCCCCCTCTTGGGACGTCTAGATATGGGCTGGTTGTTTCTAAAGAGGTAGCTCTGCAGGGGTGTGGAGCCAAATGATAATCAAGCTCAGGGAGTTTGACAGTAGACCCCAGTCCAATTGTTGTGGGCAAAAGAACAAGTCAAATACTCTGCTCAATTGGTAATTCAACATTGCTGTGCCACTCAGGAATGAGTAAATTACAAGTAGCCAACACTAAATTCAAACACATTCCAGCCTTTGCCCTACACTAATACTGTGTCCTCGCTTTTATTCTCTCACTCCAGTGGTAGTTTCAATACCTAATCGTGTATGTTAGAGTCAACAAAGTTTGGGGATTGTGTCAACAAAGATAAGGCTAACATGAAAAACCAGTATTCAAAAGTCAGAAGAAGGCGAAGAAAAAAATGCTTGTTCTAAAATAAATTATTGTTATTGGGGGAAGATAGAAATGAATGAAACAATTGGAATACTTTTCTTTTTCTTAAAATTAAAAGTATAGAAAGGAAAAAGTGGCAGATCATAGGAACTCATAGATCACAGAAAAAAAATAAATACCCGACTTTTGACGTCCTTGAGTTTCGGCAGAATTTCTAAGCTATATCCATCTGCTTGTCCTCGAGTCCTATTTCCTCCGTTCATATAATTTCCAAAAGCCAGAATGAGAGCTAAAATATCCTTCACACTCTTCATTTGCAGCAGGCCCTGTGGTGGCAAACATCAGTTATTAAGAAGCTGAATTCCAAACATACCATGTTCATTCATCAGTGAATATATAGTGAGTACCCAAGAGACAGTTGGCCTGTTACCAACAGGATTAGCAGTTGATAAAATGAAAAATATACTGCACTAATTCATAAGTGTCTAGAAATACACTAGCAGCTATCGTTTTCTACCCACATAACAAATTAATTATAAATTGCTTGTGTTTTAATATGGAGGATTAAATACTGATGTTTCCACTTGAGACAGTTTTGTTTATAATATTTATGTTAAAGTATTTATAAATTGGAAAAAAAAAGGTAGTTAGTATACTTAGGCTTTATCTCTGATGACTTCTATTTTTTTTGAATTATTTATTTATTTAATTCCATTTATTATTATTACCTATTTAATTTGACCAGAAAGAGACAGTGAGAAAGAGAGAAAGGGAAAGTGAGAAAGCAAGTCACCAGGTCCAGGACTTGAACTGCTGTTGGCCATTCGGAGTCCAGTGCCTTTATTCACCACGCCACCTGCCGGCCCCCTCTGATGACTTCTAAGAAGGAGGGAGTTTAATATCTAGCAAGGATCTATTTGGGAATGATGCGCCTACACAAACAGTACAGTTAAATGTAGAGTAGACACAACAGCAAGTGTGTTCTTTCTTATCTCTGGGTATAATCTTCTAAGGTACATTATAATGAAGCATTTTAAAGTCATAGGCTATGTTTATTAAATTTATTAAACTTAAATTTATTGTTTGCTGTATGTCTATGACTTTTACAATTTCAAACTGCTTGGATTCTCTTCAGCTTCCTTTGAAAAAGTGCTAGAGGGCATGAGTTCTTCTGGGAGAGAGAAAAAGCACACTCCTATAGGATGTGGTCATGCCTCAATCCCTTTTTGTCTATTTCTCCATCCTGTTAGGACATATGCACTTGCACCCAATATGTTTCAGGCCACCAGTGCCAGGATTGAAAATGCAATTGGCCATGTGGGATTTAGCTCCCTTACCCACAAATCTGTGAGACCAACCTTCTCTATCTTTGATTTACTTTTGTTTTAAGTGTGAATTTTCAAGTTTTTCTTTCTCTATAGTCTTGGTTGACTTTATTTGACTTTATTTCAGCATAAAGAAAACAAACTTCACCTCCAGACAGACTTTTGTTCCTGTCTTGCAGGTGGTATTAGCAGGTATGCATATATTAATGGGTTGTCGGAAAAGTCGTGATGTATTTTTCTATGTAAAGATGTATCATGTCATGACTTTTCCAATGACCCAATATATTTTGGTAATACTTTTGTTTCTTTTATTGAAATTTTTAATATATTTTTGAGAGTTTTTTTCTATAGGGCATGTGCGCTTGCCAGAAAGACAAAGAGAGACAGAGAGACAGATAGTGAGAAATTACCCCCCAAAGGGAATGGCCATGCCATAATCCTCTCTCTTCCATTCTCCTCTTGGGATCCTGGGCACACACGCACATGCTCCTGGCTTGAGTTTAAGTCACGAGGTCCAGGACTCAAACCGTGGTCAATTACATGGGAGTCCACAACATAGCCATAAAAAGCTGGTCCCTTTTTTCTTTCTTTTGAAATTTTTTATATTTCATTGGGAAAAAATTATACTTTCAACTAAATGCTGCAATATTTGTGGAGAGGAATATCATGTTCTTAGGCACATAGCTTTCACAGAAAAAGCTAAATAATAGAATTTAACATCATAATGAACACCAGTGTAGTAAAGCCAACAAAAATTTACTTGCTGATCACTCATTATCAAGTTATTGATTTCACTTAGTCTTAACATCTTTCTATTTAATTATGTAGACACATTTCAGATAATCAAATACATGGGTCTAACTCAAACTCTCTTTTGCAGTCCAGACAGTCTAACGGGAAATAAACTATGCTATTTAGATTGATTTCTAGTGGCCAGTATATACATTGAAAAATGTCTGGGATTTTTTTTTAGAAGAAATCTGTAAATGTGTCATTTTTGTTTCCCTCCTTCAGTCTGCATGTCCAATTCTCTCTCACCCTCCTCTCCCACCCATCCACACACTTGGGCAGAATAACCATCACATTTACACTTAAAAAAACACAGCGTAAATTCCAAAATGTTTTCTAGAAGGGCACAATAATTGTTTTTTCTCCTCACTTCTTCCTTTATCCCCAATAAGAGCAAGGCTATCTTTTAAGTCAGACAGCAACATACCTTAGAAGCTCGTGTGATGATCTCTACCTTTCGGTGCAAGGAGGTGATCCCCTCAGAAAAGACAGATCTGAAGATTATGCACTGGGCACGTTCAGCGAAATTTGGAATCTGGGCTAACTCATGTAAAAACCTGTAAGCATAAACAGGAGTCATTTAGCTTCATATACAATCACAAAGAAAATAAAAAGACACAAGAATCTACCATGAGAACATCTTTTATTCAACAATTTTACTTGAGCAATTATAAAAGATTTTAGAAGGGCAGATTATAGGAACTCCAAGAGTAAGTATTCTACTGTTGGCAACAGGCCTCTTTCTTGTGGGCTTCTATGAGGGTGAGTAAATGTATGGCAAATGACTCACTTTAGGAAAAGAAAGGTAATGCAAATATACTGAACAAGTTATCGAATTTCTGTCTCTTGCTACCCAAACCCGAGGCTACACCCAAATGGAAAGCTCATGTCTTCACTGTCCGATAAAAATTTTGTAATACATTTCCTTATCATGCAGCATTCTCTAAAGGTGCATTTACCCAAGCTAAACTAATTGGAGACTTGAGGCAAGTGTTTATAGACAAATGATTTTTTTAAAAAGTCCTTACTGAAGTGATAGTGTTCTAGTTTTATTCAATGAATTACATGATAGTTTCTAATGATCAAATTATTCAGAGATCTATTTACTTTTTCACATTGATGTACCTATACAGACACAGTTCACAGCTCAGTAATTAGGACAAAGCAGGTATTCATTAAATAACAACCTAAAGTTTCTTTAAAAGTATGGCAAGAGAGATCTTAAGCACTAAAGGTGGGTACTGACCTATATACAGTAGTTCACTGTCTGAGCAGTTGGGCACCGGTACTCTTTGAAAAATTAAGTTGGAAGAGCTACTTATTCTCCAGGCCAACCACCAGAGGAAGGGATATAAACTAAAATGGGTGGAAAGAGTTGGGTATGAATTTGGGAAGGAGAAAATCCACTAACAACCATTAATTTCACCTTAGAGTTGAAATGATGATTAACTGATAATTCTAAAAGTCTTAGTCAACTCATAACATCATTACTTTGAAATTTTGCAATTTTTCACAGAAAAATGGTTTTACATAGGAATAGTTGGGGCCTCCTTTTTCTATATCCAAAAAAAAAAAAAAATTGTTGGCTTATACTTGGTGATCCTTTGTAAAGGAAGAGTTTCAAGTTTTAATAAATTTATAATAATCAGTTGTTTTTCTTACCTGTCCTACAACCAGGTCTCTTTTTTTTTTTTTTTTTTTAAAGAGAGATTTTTGCTATACGGCACGTGTACTCACCAGAGAGACAGAGAGGGAAGGAAAGCAAAAAATCATCACCCTGGAGGTGGGGAACGGGAATTGCCATGCTGCAATCCCTTCTCCATTCTCCTCTTGGGTTTTTGGGCACATGCACCTGACATGAGTTTTTAAGTCGCCAGGTCTGGGACTTGAACTGTTGTTGACTATATAGGAATTCAGCAACATAACCATTACTCCATCTGCTGGTCCCAAGACCTTTTCTTTTTCTTTTTCTTTTTTTCTTTTTTCTTTTTTTTTTTTTTTTGATGACATTGTGTTAAAGCCAGGAATATGCAAAAAAAGATATACACTCCTATCTTAATGTTCTATAACTTATTATTATGAGAATCATATGATGGAATATAAAAGTAGAAGTTCACAGGAATTCTGGAGTAGGGCAAGATAAAAAAAGACTACAATCTATACGCAAATTATCTCTTTCTCAATACAGTATTAAAAATAGATTCATTTATCATAAGTGAGATCAGAGGTATCACCAGTTTTCACAAATATATGAGAAGTATAAAATGCAAAATTGATCCTGTCAATGAGTCTTGAGAGGATGTATTTACTCAGATTCCAACAGTTATCTCAAAGCAAGTGCCCTGCATTTCTCTCCTTCCAAATATGACCGTGAGAACCATTCCCCAAGTAGGACCTGGATCCTCAGAGTATGAAGCCTTTCTACGTAAAGCAAACACAGTGAGTGAGGTAGCTACAGTGGCAGTGTGAGGGAATGCACAGATCAACAACTCAGTTCACCAACAAGGACATAGGTGAAAAGCAGAAAATTCTGGATGAAAAATTACTTATACATGGCCTCAGAAAAGGCTTATGACCAATATGAATAGGTAAGACCATAGACTCAACAATTAAGTGTACTGAAGAAAGAGTAAAATAGAATTGCAAGGCTCTCCAGGATTAAAGCCTTATTGGGATTAAGACTTGGGCTGGAAAGGCTCTCAGAGAACCTTAAAATTCCATTGTCCACTAAATAGTGAAGATTCTAGAACACATACACAGACTAAGAAGGGAAGGGGCATTCAGGAATTTTGTATTACTTTTGGGTCAAACTGTGTCACAGAAAATGAATATTAGAGCTTCAATCACCAGGAATGTCAGTCAGTCCTGTGGGTATGAATGAAGAATTCTTAGTGTGCTAGGTATCATGCTAAAACCTGAGAATAAATTTACGTAAAATTTTGTTTTTAAATAAATTTTATATTGTATGTTTGAGGATGGTTCCAAACCAATTTTGACTGGAGAGATGGGATGGTGCAACAAAGTCAAAACTTTGAGTCCCTCTACAGAAGGTCACCCTGAGGTTCTGTGCTCCCCATCACATCCCTTCTGCATCCCAGTGCTCTCCTTCAAACAGTCCAGATGAATAGCAGCTGCTTATTCTTGGTTTTGGTCTTTTCTTTATGAGCAGGAAGGGTGTTAGGCACCCCTAGTCAGCCATCTTGCTGGAAGTCTCAATTCCTTCTTAATAACCAGAGAAGCAAATCAGTAATTACAGTGCAGTGTGAGGGGCATGATATTGGTAATGGGGTCCATAAATGGCACCATGGAAGTAGCATGCTTTGCACTGAATTCAGAACCCATTCCTGGAGTCCTGTGATGCTTGTGGACAACACACGTGGGAAACTGCCGAAGAGACCTGAGGTAGGTTGAATGGTATTGAGGGGAGGAGAATGGAAGCCAAGTGCCAAAATAATATTTAAATTCTAGAATAAGTTTATCCTTTTTGTTCTAAATTATGGGTTTTAAACAGAGAAGTGACCTTTATGGCTTGCTTTAATGACCTCGGCAGTGGCTTGGCTGATAAGAGGTGATAGCAGGTTTGAGGTTAGGAGACCTATTAGACCACTGCTGCAGTCCTCCAAGAGGGAAGGTCAGAAGGTCTACAGTGAGAATGGAGAGGGCAAATGTATGAAAAAGCTAAGGCAGCAAGAACCTGAGTATGTGACTAGCCCCACAGAATGTTGAAAACAGTCCAGGAAGACCTATGAGTCCTTGGCTTAAACATCTGGTAGGTTGCAAAGATGCAAAATACTAGAGAAGAAAATTTGAAAAATTTGGTTTTATGTTGCTTTCTGTCCAAAAATAGCCATGTAAAGCCTTGAGGAAGAGCACCACTGTTCCTTTCCCATTTATCCGGTTAAGTATCAGAAGTATAGGTTACCTCAAAGGCTTGTAAAGCAAGGCCTTGACAGAATGAATTTAAGAGAGGGTTTATTTTAACTCACAATTCTGGTATTTAGGAAGTCCAAAACCAGAACTCTTAGCAGAGCAGAATGTGGTCTGTATCCACGTGGCCTTTCTCTCCCATTCTGGCCTCATTCTCTTTGCTTTTATACCCTACCAGAAACCAGTCATGAAGGTGCCATCCTAATTACATTATCACACCCAATGGCCTTATGCTGGGAGACCTAAAAGGGATTACATTTTCATTAACAACTTTACAACAGATCAAGTCCCAACACAAGAATTTTAAGAAATATCTAATTACCTTTCACTAAGACCAAGTTTCAAAACATGAAACTTTGTGGGACGAACCTTTATCCAAACCATAATAATACTCTACCCATAGGGCACACATAGTAACTCTTTCATATATCTAAAGCATACATCTTAGACACTGGGCCCTTACATTTATGATACTTAAAAAATGATTTTCGAGGGACCGGCAGATGGCATAATGGCTATATCGCTGGACTCCCACGTAGGTGACTGCGGTTCGAGTCCTAGACTCAGTGGCTTAAACTCACACTGGGAGCATGTGCGTGCATGCCCAAGATCCCAAGAGGAGAAGGGATTGCAGCATGACCATCCTCCCCACCCCAAGGGGGATGATGTCTCGCTTTCTGTCTCTCTGTCCCTCTCTGTCTTTCTGACGAGCACATGCGCCCTATAGCAAACATCTCTCAAAAAGAATGATTTTTTTTTAGGCTACTTTATATTCTAGGTTCAATAATAGAGAAGACTAAACATCCCCACAGAAGGCACAAATGAAGAATCTTTCCCTTGTTTCTCTATAGCAGACTTTTTTCCCCCTGAAAGCCTTATTGTTTGGGTTATACATCCACAGCAATAGTTCAGCTGATAAGTAGAATGAAGCAATGTGGCCCACTGTTTTCAAGGCAGTAACATTTGGTTTTTTCATCTCCATAATCTCTGGATGGTGTTATCCAAGGCATATGTGCACATGAGCTGTATGCACAGCATAATTTCATGCTGTTATCCATGTTCTTCCATGAAATAGTACAATAACAGAACCTAGTCCATGAGGGCTTCAGGGCTTCTGTAGACCTGAGTGGAGCATCCTGACAGGCTGTATATGGAGTCCTCAGCCTAAGCCATGGTAAGCATGTGTCAGCCTAATGAAACTCAGTAGAGTCTTACCTCATCTCATCATCATCATCCCAAGCCAGGATCTCTGTAGGGAGTGGCTCTCAGACAGCCTGGTCCCCAAGCAGATGACACCTCTGTGGGAAACGACTCTCTAAATCTGGTACTAGGGCGTAAGAGACTTGATGAAGTGAGTGAAGAGGCCAGCCTCTCCATGCTATGATTTATAGGACTGGGCACCGCAGGACTCTTAGGAAACCTAAATGCTAAAACTATAAATGATTCATATTTTCCAGTATGTAGAGCATGCTTATAGTTGACTTACTTGGAGTTGATGGCAAATTAAGTTGCCAGAGAATCAGCCTTTCATATAAATCAAACAAAGATTGGCCTGTGTAGGAGGTTGCGAGTAAAGGTAAAATTCACTCAGATCTGAAGGCCCCTACCTCTCTGTGTGTCACCTTCTAGAGACTGAGCCCAAGCACATCGCCCCACCAGCACAACATGGCAGTCTTCTTGCTACCAGTAATAGCTTTGTATGTCCGAAAAGCCATTGTAATGTCTATTTATGAACTTTAAAATACTCTTCTATCTAGATCACCAAAAAGCAGAGTTAATAACTTGTCTTTAATTACCTGTACACATTATTCTATGTCCTGGCAATTAATCTTGAAAAATTATGCCAGAAAGACAGTAATACTCAAGGAAAAGGGAAATACTTCCAGTAGAAGCTCACAAAATCTCCCCAGCTGTTCATTTCACTGAGTCAGCCATTCTCACCGTTCAGGGTCCATGCTTCCAAAGAAAGCCACTCCTCAAAGTTCCCAAAATCAGCATAGAATTTTGTCAATAAGTGAGTAAACCTAGAAATCTCTCTTTCACTCCAACCTCATCATTTAGAAGGTTTTCCTGGGTCTACATGTTCAGGCAACCGTGGGAAGTGAGTCCTTCTAGAGGACCCACACCAAGGGATACAGGCTTCAGTGTAAGCCATACATCCTGGATGCCTCGAGGGCTGACTTGTTATCCTATCTGATCATTCATTTCTTTTCGTTTTATGTACTCACAACATCTCTACGTTGAGAGACTTGACCTGAATTGGTAAAGCATTTACAGTAGCAATAGGTGAAAAACCCAAAACAAACAAACAAACAAAACCTGTCCACTTTGATTCCATTTTATATGTTCACAGCGTCCTATGCCCTGAAAAGTTGAACAGGGCCTTTGGGCTGCAGAATCCCAGAAACTCATCTGTGTCTTGCAGACCCCAAGAACTCAGCCAAGAACAAGAATGGCTTGGTAATACACTACCATTCTGAGTCTTCAAAGCCTGTGGGATGACATCTGAAACTACCGAACAAGCAACTCTGAAGACTAAGAGGAGAGAAGAATAAGCATATACAGGGCGAGGAGAAAGTCACGTCTAACCTGGCAGAGTAGGTGGAGAAGTGTGGCGGAAAGCTGGCACGTTCAGGCTACATTTACTGGATGTGGCATTTAGGAAACTCAGTATGAATTCTGTGAGTCTGATATCATCTTTTTAACTGCATCAGCAGAACCTTAAACAGAGCAATGCTGACTTCCTTCCTCAGTTGGCCTTTCAGCCAAAATGTTTAGTCTAGGAAGAATTAACAAGCTACTAGAACAAGAAAGGGGAGTCACGGGGGTAGAAAAGGGAGGGTAAGACATACTGGATCCAACTGCACAAATCTCAGTGCTGCTTTTCCCGGCAGCTGGGTCACTCTGCTGTATGCAATAGGTCATGGGCATGACGGTGTTGTGACTTAGCTGACTGCACAATTATGATTTGGTTATTTCTGGTGGACAGGCAGACAAATTGCAGTTCTACTACTGGCCTAACGAAAAGTGTTCAAGTGTCCTTACTGCTCAGGTTTATCCAGAAGCTTCAATTCTTCTTCTTTGGATGTCTCATAATATTTTCTTATTTTAACCAGTTCATCCTCTTGGGCTCTCTGCATTAAAATAGAAAACAAAATAACAGCAACAACAACAACAAAAAAGAGAAGTGAGACTCTGTCTAGGGTGATGGGTCTCAGAGTGTAGTCTCTATATCTGTAGCAACATCAGCATCAACCATCCCCTGTTAGAAATAAAATTACTGATCTTACCTCCAAATAAAAAACTACAGGGATGGGGCCCAGTAAGCATCTAAGGAATCTGGTGCCTGCTAAAGTTTAAGAATAATTGGCTAATGCAAATGTTCATGGCAGAAGCCAGGACATCTGATTGCTACCTTTGAATCGTCCATCCCTTCCCCTGCAAGTAGCTACAGGTGAAACTGCCTTTGGTATTTGCTTCCTCACGTTCGCAATAGCCCTTCTAATGAATAAACAAGGTCTTGACTCTTTGATTTCTAGTTACTATCTCCCTTTCTTCTGAATTTTGTAAGTACTTATTGTCTGCACCACTTTTTTTGTCATTTAGTCACATATATTCTCAATATATCCAACGATTTCAGTTCTATGTAGCTTGCCTCTACTGCACCAACCATGTGCATAGTCCTGAGCCCATAGCAACCACAGAAAGCTTCTGGAAGGTACTTTGTCCTTTACAAAATCTTTAACATCAATTACTGGATGCTGATTATACAGATGATTCCACTGAGGCTTGGGCTAGGTAATTATAAAAGTCTTTTGCACTAAAATCCCTCTTTCTTCTACTATAGCATGATGCTCTCCAGGTACCCAACAAATGCAAGATTAGTTCCTGATGGTCTGGTATCTGTTTATCTTCAGCTTTTTATTTATTATTATCACTGTCAGAGAGCATGTGTGCTTACCAGAGAAAGACAGAGAGGGAGAAAGCAACTCCCAATGGGGCATGATCAAGCCAAAATCCTTTCCCCTCCCTTTCTCCATCCTGTCAGGATCTGGGGTATGCATACATACTCACCCAGTATGTTTTTCAAGTGACCACAGATGGGATTTGAACCATGGTCAGCTATACGAGATGTCACTCTCTTAACTACTACTCTGTGGGTCGGGCTCTGCCTTCGGATTTACTCATGAAGGTTTTACTAATGGAAATGTGAGAAGTTTCTACATAGTTGAATCTGTTGGAAATGTGGCTGTACTAAATAGTTATTGATTTTATACATAAAGGATGTGAAAATAAGTGGGGAATTAGTGAGCCACTCAGGTCTACATATCAAACTACAGAAATTTTCTACATGAGACTTATGGTCCCAGAGGACATAAATATTGTAATGAAACATCTTTGAACTAGGTGACCAGAGCATAACATAGATCACAAGTAGCTTCCTAGGGAAAACTATTACTTAGAGAATCCAGTTCAACTTATACTTTTGCATCTCACCAGTCATTTAACAATCATGGGGACTTGGATTCTCTTGTGTCATCTTAAAAGAGCCTTCCAATTCTGTGGGTTATTTTCACTTACAATCTAAATCAAAATGCCTTATGAGTGTATAGTTGTGATTTTCAAAATGTATGGCTAATGCTACATATATTAAATTGTTATTTAATACAGAAAATCAGGTAGAGCCCACTATAATCCCCACTATATTGAGAATCAAACAGGGTTAAGGAGTTCGAGGAACTGGCTGGTCACTTTGCAGACCACAGTAGAGCTGGACCTGAAACCTAAAACTGACTCGCAATCCAAAACACACTACAGTGCATCCCACATTCAACATCATCAGCTTATCTAGACTAAGAATAACCATCCAAACTGGAATTAGCATTCCTCTTCTTCAGAGGAAGACACTGTTGAATGCCAGCATTAGGCAGACAGTATACGTCCATTCCCTCTCCCAGCAAGTGACAGGGCTGGGCTCCAGGCTGCTTAGGTGATCTCCACCTTGAACTGCCCTGCCTTGTAGATGTGCAATGATGCCTACTAACTGAGATCCCACAGTGGTAGTTAGGAACCTAGTGTTTCCCATGTCCATTCCCATTCAAGTTTGCGTTTCTGTGCTTTAATCTCTTCCATGCTATGCAAAAATCATTCCTACCCACAAACACGCATATCTCAGTAATTTTTTTCTTTCACGTAGAAGGAAAGCATGGAAGCTCCAGCTCTGTACATCTTTGACACTCACGTTTTCATACAAGGCCGCCAGCGTCTCCAGGTCAACCACTGAGTCATCCACATTGAAAATGGCTGCCGAGTACCCAAAAAGAAAAAGGAAAAAAAAAAAATCAAGATTTGATTAGATCCCCTGACTTCATGTCATTTACAAGGAATATAAGAACTGCCTTTCTTACATGAGTTGTGCCTTTCAGCTGGTTTCTACTCCTTTCGCACCAAGAGGCTTAAGTAAAAGAAACCAAAGCGGTTCTTATCACTGGCTCGAGTCTTGGCCCTGCCGTGTTTCATTCCTCAGCTTTTGCATCCTTTCTCCAGTTTAATTTAGGCTCCCCAGGAGAAGTGTTTGTGCTTTAAAACTAAATCAGTTTGTAGGTTTGAAGCGCAATTTTAAATCTTTCTTCCCGGCTGGTAATTGAAGAGATTTAGTACCTAATACACCAGAGCTGACTCTTGCCCATTACCAGAAAGAGAGAGAGAAAAAAGACAATGTTGGCAAATTAAATGAATTCAGGCATGTGATTTCAGGCACCTTTCCATGGCCAGTGCAAACATCTTGTTTGGATTAAAAAGACACGAAAAAGCAATCATTGCATCAAGGGCAAATTAAGATTATGGAAACCTCCCATGAGCCAGTTTTCAGGCAAGTTCTCATTCCCACGGTTTTATTAGGATTCTACTCGTTCGATATCTTAAATAAGTCACTAAACTGTTAGTTAACATGTTCATGGTTTCATCTAGAGAGGTTCGTTCTTACATAGTCTAGGATACAATCATTGGGAATTGGGATTTTAAAGCCTTAATGGATTTCACTATCAAAGTCTTTGAAATAGGCAGGTCCACATCTTTAAATAATTATTCAAAACTAATAAGGTTTGTTCCCTCAACCCTACCTCCTTTCCCTCACTTTACATTGTGAAATTAACCAGCACGCCAGTAAATTTTCTCTGTGGCAGGCTAATTAATTTTATTAAACTAACCAGTGATACTTATAATACCTTAAAACTTTGCTCATCAGCCTATATTCTGCTCACTTGCATTATATCATAGTTTTCAGAGAAGGTGGGGAATACAGGTAAAGGGCAGGTTGCTTTGAATTGTTTTGCTCCTCCTGTAGTTTAGAATCATATGAGTCTCTTCATAATAATCATAACAAGATCAATTAACTGAGCTAAAATCATATAACTTCATAGAAAACTGAGAAATGTACTTATAATTCTTTTACAGGTCACCTTCACTTATTAGCCTGTTTATCCTAGACAAATAGAATAATGAGAAGAGCAGAAAGGTTAACATATTAGTGACAGAGTTAGTCATCTCAGACTCCACCATAACAAGAGAAAATTACACTTCCAAAAGGACAATCCGAACCCACACACACACAAAAAGCAATTTGCAGAAAGAATAAAACTATTTACCCTCCTACTATTGTTATTTTGTGTGTAGAGATAATAGGAATTCCCTAATTTATTACATACAACTTGCCTTTTTAAATGAGTAGTGCTTTCAAACCCAAAATCAAAATAACCAGGGACAATGCCTATCTTATGTAAATCCCAATAATCTACAAAAATCAGTCAGCATGAAATGCACAAGAAAAGGTAAAATTCTGAAAATAATTTATCAGAAATGTTTATTATGAAACTAAACACACATCTGAGGTAATATGTATGAACTATAATCTTATGACCTTACATGTAATCACATCATCTCATTAATGAGCTGTGAATTTTATTTCTCTAATAAGTAAATACTGGATTTTAAAAAATTAATCAGTCTAGTCCCAGATGCACTTGTCCGCGGGTTAAACAGTCAGACAATTCCTCTCCAGGATACTAGGTAACAGAGAGAAAATACCTAACGAGGAAGGGACCAGAGAATGATGAGGGCTCTGTAGATGTTTATTCATCCATTCCCTCCACCAGTCCTTGAATAAATACTCAGTGAATGTGTGCTAAGTTCCAGAAACTGCTGGGGATATATGTCAGAAGTTGTGAACACTTGGGAACCTGCAGTTAGCGTAGTGGCTATGTCGCTGGATTCCCACGTAGTCAATCGCGGTTTGCATCCCGGACCCGGTGGCTTAAAACTCACGCCGGGCGCGTGTGCGGGCATGCCCAAGATCCCGAGAGGAGAATGGAGGAGAAGGGATTGCGGTGTGACCATCCCCCCCGGGGGGGTGATTTCTCGCTTTCTATCTCTCTGTCTCACTCTGTCTGGCGAACGCACGCGCCCTATTGCGAAAACCTCTCAAAAAAAAAAAAAAAAGAAGTTGTGAACGCTTGATCTCATCAAATTTATATCTTATATTGGGGGACAGAAAATAAACAAGCAAATACAGAATTTCATGTAAGGACATACTGTGAAGAAAGCAAAATAGAGGGACCAGCAGTTAGCATAATGGCTAAGTCACTGGACTCCCACGTAGTTGACCGCGGTGCGCGTCCCGGACCCGGTGGCTTAAAACTCACTCCGGGCACGTGTGCGTGCATGCCAAAGACCCCGAGAGGAGAATGGAGGAGAAGGGATTGTGGCGTGGCCATCCCCCCCTGGGGGGTGATTTCTCACTTTCTGTCTCTCTGTCTCTCTTTCTGTCTGTCTGGCAAGAGCACACGCCCTATAGCAAAAACCTCTCCTCAAAAAAAAACAAAAAAAAGAAAGCAAAATAGAGAAATGTACAACATTAAATGGAATGATGAAAGAAAACTTCTTTGAGGAAGTGACATTTAAGTTCACACCTGAAGAGGTCATTTTATGACTATCTGGGAGAACATTTCATGGAGAGGTAACTGCAAAAGAAAGTTCCTTTTCTGATGAATGAACACGTTCAAGGTGTTCAGAAAAAGATCAAGGTGATGATCATGGACAGAACGAAATTTACTTGGAATGTGATCCTGACATGCTAAATTCTCAGAGCCTCAGCACATCTTTAAAACAGATCCAATATCTCTTACCAAAAATATTGGATAGTATGTATAACTCGTATTGTGCACAGAATATGGTATAAACTCAAAATGATACCTATGAACTATGAGTATTCTGATTTGAAATATATACTTTGTCAATGTGTTCTAATACTTACTAATGTCTTATCTACTTTAACATCTGAAAAGAACTGGAGAAAAGACAAAAATAATCTACAACTACAATAAAAAAGAAACAAAAACAAAACCCTGTTAACTACTGAGTTCTTTCCAGAATTCTTGGATGTTTTAGATAGTTGCTATGATCTTTTGATCTTTTTTTTGTCTTTTTTTGGAGAGGTTTTTTGCCATAGGGCACATGCACTTGCCAGAGAGACAGAGAGAGAAAGAGATAGAAAGCTAGAAATCACCCCCAGGGGGGATGGCCACGCCGCAATCCCTTCTCCTCTCAGGATCCTTGGCATGCACGCACACGTGCCCGGCGTGAGTTCAAGCCACTGGGTTTGGGACTCGAACCACAGTCGACTACAAGGAAGTCCAGCGACATAGCCATTACGCTAACTGCTGGTCCCAAACCCTTTTGATCTTTTAAAATCTTACTAGAGTCCAACTTTGGGAAGCATTATTAATAGAAAAGGTTATGTACAAATAACTGTACAAAAAATTATCAAATATCTTTTAAAACATGTAAGATACCTCTGGGTCCAATAAGGAAGTTGATCTGCTTTCTTTGATTTTTTGGTTTTGCTTTGTTTTAGATTTTACCATAGGGTGTGTGTATTCACTGGAGAGAGACAGAGAGATAGATACAGAGAGAAGGAAAGGAAGAAATCAGCCCCCAGAAGGATGGACACACCATTCTCCATTCTCCTCTTAGGATTTTATGTATGCACACACATATGCCCCATGTGATTTTCAAGCCGCTAGATCTGAGACTTGAATTGTGGCTGGCCATGTGGGAGCCAGTACCTTCATTAAAACACCACCACCTAATTTTGATCTCTAATTTCAGTTTTTCTATCAACCCATTTTTAATTATATCACCACATTAATTTGTTTTTAACATGGGCATCAAAATTGAACTTTTTTATTTAAAACACTTTGAATTCCTTTCTTTTAAATATTAGGAGAAGTCCAAATTCCTTGACCTGTTTTGTTTCTTTTTATAAATTATTCATTTAATTTTATTTACTATATCTTTACTCAATTTGGTCAGAGAGAGACAGAGAGAAAGAGAAAAGCAAGCTGCCAAGTCCGGGTCAGTCATGTGGGAGTCCAGCACCTTAACCACCATGCCACTTGCTGCCTTGGCCTGGTTTTTAAGCCCTTGGCTTACTTGGTTCCAAACTATACTTCCAGTTTTATCCCCTATCACTTCCTCCATGCACCTTGGGCTCCAGCTATACTATGCAACTCCCTATTCTGGAATATACCATGGCTCTGCACTTCCCACTCCTCATCCTCCAAGGCCCAGAAGTTGAATGTTTCCTGCCTTGAAAGGACATTCCTTGTCCTTGGGAGCCTTGATCTTTTTTCTCTGCCATGGCACCTCTCTTATATTTTACAAAGGGCAAAGATACTGTATTTTAAGACTATATTATGCAGTGTTGCATGAGTTTCCCCAGTAGATTGTGAAAGCTGTGTAGACAAAGTTTGTTTCTTATGCATCTAGATAGGTCCCAGCTTCATACCTGGGGTACAATAGGTATAAAATAAATGCTCATGAATGTAATATATGCTATAGGACTCCCAAAGAGTGAGTCCTGCTG